ACACGCGCATGCGAGTGACTTCCTCGAGGAGACGGCGGAGAAATGACTGTGCGCATCCTTGAAAACGCGAGGGAGAGCTGAAAAATTTATATCCGCGGCGCGACCAACAGGTCGGCCGTACAAAGTTCGCCGTGGGCTGAACGCGAAATCCTCCGCGCTAGTCGACGACGACGACGGCGACGTGCCTGGCGCGCGCGGCGGTCGTTTTCGTTTTTATATAGGCAGATTTGCGGGCGCGCGGAGATTCGACGCTTAAAAGCTCGAGGGTGTCTTATCTGCCACACCCTCGAGCCGCTCGACCCTTCTCCGGGGGTGCTCGCGACGTCGCACAGTGGGGCCAGATGACATTCTTTTGGTTGAAAATTCTCTAGAGACCTGAATGTCCAACTGATCATCGACACCAATGGATGAGGATTGATCCCGAATAAATTCCGAAGAGATCTGTCTTGCCAAAATTAAAAAGAAATTTTTTTTCTCTAATTACTAGCCCTAAAGAGGAAAAATTATCGTTAAACGCGAGAAACTTGTGAAATACTCATTATTCGACACTTATTTCTATCTAGTAGTGGGTTGAAACTATTCAAATGAAACTATGAAACCAATCAACAGACACCTCGAGATTTATCGGTTTTGAAACAGAAACCCATTAATCCAAAACTCATATGCCCAAAATACAAAGACGTCAAATATAGACCTGTTAAGCACAAAACCGAGGGATTTTGAGCCTTAAGCCCATCAACCGAGGAATCTATCAATTGGAGAACTTTTTAGCTCGTGGATGCACGAAGACGTATATATTAAGAGCCTCAAATAATCCAAGAACCCAATCTAGCCATAGCTCGAGAACCTAATAATACTCGACGTTGAATATTCAGCTACGAAACATTAAGTTCGAGCCTAGAAATGCTGAATGCTAATGTTCTCCATGTTTTTAATTATTGGGCCCATATGGGTCTTCATTATTCTTTCTTAATGTGGGCTGAAATGATGAACTTTGAAATTCTGAGTTTTCTAAAAGATGATTATAAGTTCTGGGTTCTCGCATTAAGTATCCATAGGCTCTTCTAAACTTTTCAGACAAACCCTAAACCCATGAAACCTGAACCGATAATTTTTTCAAAATTTCGGCTAGACAGATCTCTTTGGAATTTATTCTGGATCAACCTCATCCATTGGTGTCGATGACCGGTTGGAAATTCAGATCTCTAGAGAATTTTCGACCAAAAGATGTCACCTGGCCCCACTGTGCGTCGTTCCGCTTCGACGGGACTTCAGTCCCGCGCCGCGGAAAATCCCCCCTCCCCTAGCTGGCCGGAGGGCCGACAACTCGGCGAGAGGCTGTCATCGTTAAAGCGCGATGTCTCTCGCGTTGCAAATCGGCGAGACTCCCTGCGGATCAAAGCAACCTCGCGCAACCTCGGCACGCGATGCAGCACTTCCCCGTCTGAGCCCGGCGAATCGAGTTGGAGCGTGACCGACGCTCCGAGAGAACGTTCGAAACGAGATCAACGGCCGCTTATTCCGCGGCGCAGAGAGCATCCATAAAAGCCGCCTCTCTCTCTCTCTCTATCTCTCTCTCTCTCAGTGGCTTGGGTGTGAAAAAATCTCGTTGAAGCGCGTCGGCGTGTGGCGCGAAAGTGAGTTGCGGCGTTGCGAAAGTGCACTGTCGAGGCAAATGAATCGCAAGAGGAGGCGAATAAAGAGAGAACAAAAATAAAGAGAGAGAAAAAGAGGGAGTGAGAGACGGGGGGGGGCAGGGGGAGAAGAAGACAGAGGAGCGGAGGAGGAAATATTCAGCGCGTTCGTTCATTATTCGTCATCCCGTAGCGCGCTCAACTCGCGAAATAAAGATAAATGCAAAGTGAGAAAAACACGTAGAACGTCGCTTCTCGGGCTGAGAGCCGCACGCGCCGCTGCTGCTCCGGCGTTTAATTTTTCCCCTCCGCCGTTGCGTAACGCGTTGCTGTTGCTCGCGATGGATACGGCGACGCAATGATATCTCGGAAAGACACGAGAGCGTGTGAAAAGAAACTCGTTAATTCACAGCTCCGTACGCGAGAACGTTCGACGTCTTTCACTCGTCGTCGATACCGTCTGCCGAGTCGATATAAATTTGCGCCCGGAGCTCGTCTCGAGCGCGGAGGAAGGAAGGAGAGGGGGGGGGCAGGAAGAAGGAAAAAAATATAAAGAGAAAGAGGGAATAAGAGATCATTGATAGTTAAATGTCACGTCCGGTGCTCGGGGACTCCTGTGCCGTGGGGCGAAGGGCGCGGGAAGGGAGGGGGGGAAGCAGGTGCTCACGAGTGGTAGTCTCAGACGCATTCTTGAATATTTAAACGACCGTGTCTCTCTGTCGAACGTGCGAAGAGTGCTGCGGCAAATGCCGCAGCAGCGGCAGCGGCAAGCGGCAACGGCTGCGGCAGAGGCGGAAAAATAAAAAAAGAAGAAGAGAAGATATCCACCTCTCTCTCTCTCTCTCTCTCTCTCTCTCTCTCTCACTCGAGCTCGCGTCTGTCCCCCCCCCCGTAAGCTCGGATTCACACTAAGAAGTTATACGCTGCACTGCAGCTTGCGTATCCATGCGGGAGTTTCGCAGCATAATGCGACGCGAAATTGCAGCGCGCGCAATGATAGGGATCATAATTTGAGAGCGTTCGTTGCCGTATAAGACGTCCTTTCGACGATATTTTCTCCTCTTCTTGCCCCTTCCGTCCCTCCCTCCTCTCTCCGCGCGTCACGGGGGGCGGACGCGCCTCTCTCTGATTATTGTGCGCGAATGGAGAGCGAATCTTCACTCTTTTTTCCTTTTTTCGCGTTACATCGCGTCGACGTCGCGGGGTTTTTTAATTTAGTAATGGGCCTGCCCTTTTCGTCGCTGCGGTTATTCTTGTCCGGCTGCATCCCACGCGTTAATTTAATTACATCTGGAATATTATTTCGCGAAAAATCACGCGCGCGCCGGCCGCGCCGGAGGATCGCCGGACGAACTGTCGCGCGGAAACTTATTACGATCTGCCGGCCGTCGGGATTTCGACAGCTGTCCTAATTAGTCCCGGGAGTTAATTAAAAAATTACAGGACAGTCGCTTCGCATCAAATATGTGGCTTGTAGAATGTTCGTGTGTAAACGATCACAATGGTTATAATGTATCACCGTGGAATCGTCACAAGCGGCCGATAAATTTGATCGTACGGCTGATAATCGGGTCGGGAAAATTTTGCAATCGCCGAGCGAACATTTCGAGCCGTCGTGCACGCTCTCTCGCACATACGCTCAAAATAATTTCTCTCGCCTTCACGATATATCGAATTAAATATTCAATCTTGAAAAAACACAAGTGGAATCTTCTGGGAGTGAGAGAGAAGGAGGAATATTAAACCTGCGGGATTAAAAATCTGCCGTATCTTTTGTACGTGTAAATAACAAAGTGCTGGTAACCGCGAGTTTATTTACGCACACATCGCTCATCGAGTCATCGAGGAAACATACATATGGGGGGAGAAAATCGGTGAAATATATTTTAACCCTTTAACACCTACTGGTAACTATAGTTACCAGAAACGCATTTAAGAATCTATAACTTAGTGAAAAAAGGAGATATTTTCGTTTTCTTTGCACCACTGTAAAGGTGAATTCTTCTCCTAAAAAATGGTATATAGATTGCATGTAGATTCGGTTTGGTCTGTTTTTAGCTCAGTTTTAATGATAACATGTCATTTTGTCAAATTCCAAGTAGGCATAGGTTAGCATTGTTACTGACATCTAGAAGTGCACTATAAATGCATAGATTGGTATCTGTTATAATTTTATACATTTGGAAGCTTTCTCAGACGTAAAATGTGAAATTAAAAGAATACAGAAATTCAAAATGGCGAATCCAATATGGTGGACACCAAAATCAAGAAATCAATCTATTTTCGTGAAACCTGATGACCTACAGTTTTTTATGCGGCGGAAAATGAAGGGACGATTGACTATCTAAATGGTGATCTATAAGATATTCTTCTGAAATAGTAAGCTTGACGCTCTGAATGATAAACTTCACTCGCAAAGTATAGTAAAGTTTTAGCTGAAAAATGTCAAGCTGACTATCAGAGTTATGTCGTGTAGATTACCTTCCATTTTTTTCTGTATAGGTTGCTCATTTCGTATATATGCTTTTAAGATCCAAGTCATATTTACCAATAAACAAGAAACGAATGATAAAAAAAAGACCAAACTAACGAAACCAACAAAAGCGGAAACTTCATGTACTCATCTATTATATTCCATTCCGGATAAATAAAGATCAAGTTCTGAATATGAGTTTTATGTTTCGAGAAATTTTTTCAACCGTTAGGTATGATATAAAATTATTAAAACTAAAAAGAAGAATTTAACCGATCAGACGTATTTTTCGCTTCTGGGAGTAGTTTCTGCTTGAAAAGGTAGTTCTTCGTAGATATAAAATTCTGATACTTTTTTTGGTTATCACTACTTGTAGTCTCAGTACAAAGAACTTAAATTTTATTCTTAAAACACTTATAAAAAAAGTCGGGCGTTGAAGGGTTAACGAGGTCGAAGGAAACAAGCTCGCCGGTTCTCCAGAGCGAGATTGCCGCGTGACGAAAAAAAGAAAAAGATCGGGAATTTCGTCTTGCCCGACCGAGTCGCGTTCGGCTCGTTCGCGTTAATTACGCCGATTTCTTTCCCCCGCGCGGAACCGTGAATCTCTCTCTCTCTCTCTCTCTCTCTCTCTCTCTTTCTCTCTCGGCGGCTCTCGACAGCTGGAATCGCAGTCGCCCAGACGGCGAGGGATAATCGCCGCAAGAAACGGCAAGCTGCAAGTCCTCGTTCCGAAACTCCGCTGTTTTGCGTAAATGGGGGATGCCGCGTTCCCCGTCATCGTCGCCGTTACGACCTCCTCGAGCAACCCCCTCCCTACAAGCGTTCTCGTCAATCCGTTAAGGCTAATGATTCTCCGAGGGTGACCTAACGTCGTGTCGTAATGTCTGTTACAGAGTTTACGCAACATGATGACCAACACGACGGACGCCTGCGAGACACGCGACCCCTGCCAGCACGGCGGCATCTGCATCTCCACGGACAGCGGTCCGATCTGCGAGTGTCGCACCGGAGACTACGAGGGCGCCTACTGCGAGAAAGGTATGTCATTCTTTTTCTCGCGCACATCCTGCATTATGCCGACGCGATTACGAGCGAACGCACGCACTTCTGAGCGTGCATTTAATTAGTTCGTCTCTTCTTCTCTCTCCCTCTCTCTCTCTCTCTCTCCCCCCCCGTTTTTTTCCCGTATATATGTATTTTTTATATTTTTTATTTTTGCTCCTCTTTATTTTCTGCATTCCATCTTGTTTTTCTTTATTTTCTGCATATCTTTTCTTCCTTCCGAGGCACGAGCCTCAAGATTGTAACTGCTGTATTTTCTATGGGGTTCTCAACATCGGAGTGAAAATAAATAACTCTAACTCTAACTCTCCCTCTTTCTCTTTCTCTCTCTCTCTCTCTCTCTCTCTCTCTCTCTCTCTATTTCTCTCTCTTTTTCTGTTCCTCTATCTCTCTCGGGCTTTTTCACTTGTCCGCGTGAACGTTCATTTCGCCGCCTACCTCTGCTGACATCTATACACGATAGAAATTGTACGCGCAACCATGCTCGACGATACGGAACGTGATAAATCGCGACAAATTAAATTGGCCGACGTAATGAATGAGAAGCTTCATTAGCGACGTAAGGCGCGCTAGTCGATGAAATTATTGGGATTTAACCGTGAGAGTTTTTACCTCGTCGATAAATTTCGCGCGGAGGGAAAGAAAGAGAGAGAGAGAGAGAGAGAGAGAGAGGGGGGGAGGGGAGGAGGAGGAAAGAGAGAGCATGTCAGGGATCTTGATTTACCGCGATTCAATAAAGACTCATTCTCCCTTTGGCCAAGGCTGTATTAAATTCCATCCTTGACATTTCTGCCGCGGTCGGCTCTACGCGCGCGTGGCTTTAATATTACTTTCAGCATTCGTTACGTCCCGCCATTTCATTAATTTACAACCCGCATTATCCCCGCGATATTCTCTCGATTTCTCTGCGTCCACCCGTCCGTTCGTCGGTAATTTATTAACGTGCCGGATCGCGTCCCGTTAAATTCAATATCAATCACCCGCGCGTACATACAACATTCACCACGCAAACGGTGAATTTCTCCTTCAAATATTCATCATTCTTTAATAAATCTCGCCCCTGCGACCCGACACGTGCGAATGTGTGTCACCCGTCTCTCTCTCTCTCTCTCTCTCTCTTTTTTCCTTCCTCGCGGACGCTTTCGGAAAGTCGTAAATTTTATTTCCCGTTAATCTGCACGCGCCTCCATGACGATGTTGGGGGGCAGGATGGGGAGGGGGAGAGGAGGAGAGAACGCGCGTCGCTTAATGAGGCGTAATTGCCGGCAGCTGCAGAAACGAGATGACGCTTCGGAATGATTTTTCCGTCGCTTAAAGTCGGCGGCAATTAGAGAAGGCCGGGCCCCCGAGCGCGGCTCGTTCCAAGACGTTTCGCCGATAATTACAATCAGACTTCTTCCCCCGTTAATGAGGTGCGCGCACAAGGAGCCGTTAACACGAGCGATTCGGCAGTCGCGAACGGGAGCGGCGAAATATGCAAAAGTTGCACGTCGCCATTCGTTCGTTCGCGCCGTCGTTGTGATCTCGGATGAATCTCCCCCTCTCACTCCCTCTCTTTCTCTTTCATTCCGCTTTTCGCGTCTCGAAATCGCCGATTCTCACAAAGAAGCCGCTCGGTCGTGACTGCGGCGGGTATATAAATCCTGCCTCCGGCGGCGACGTGGATTTCCTTATGGTGAAAAACACAAAAAGTCGTGTATTTAACAACGGACGGCGAGATTACGTCGCCACGTCTCTCCTCTCCCCCCCCTCTCTCTCTCTCTTCCTCGCGGACAAGCAACGCGCGCGGGATTCACTTTAATTGCGGTTTACTCCGTGCGATAAAATTCCACATTCCTCCTCGCGCCTTCGTGAGGGGGGATTGGCGATAGGGGGCAGGAGGAGGGGGAGAGGAGCGCAAACGTCAACCGGCCGGGGGCAATTTTGCTCCTCGGCCTCGCTCCGGTCGCGGATTTTCTCCGTTTCTCTCCATTATTGCGCGACAGCCGCAACGGTCGTCCCGAGGGACGAGGAACGTTGTGCCTTGCGAGTAACGATAGCAACCACGATGACGATAACAACAATATCGAAAACGTGAGATTCCTGATCCGCCTGCGATACGATAAGCGGCTGTGCTTAATGGTACCGCCATGCCGCGACTCGCAGTGTTTCCCCGCTGGGACTCGAGCCTCGAGGGAGGAGGAGGCCGAATAAACAATTTTCCTTCATCGACGAGATCGCGGCGTGTTTATTCAAAGGGCCGCCGCGCTCCGCTGATAATTGCAAATCTTTACGAACTCACGGCCGCAGCCTTTTGTTCCTACCGAGTAGAGAGAGAGAGAGAGAGAGAGAGAGAGAGACGCACGGAGAGAAAGAGACAGAGAACGAGAGAGGGGTAGTTGAGGGGAGGGAGAGAAAGAGAGGCTGTCCGTAGGAACGTGAAACTTCAAAGACGACTCCCTCGCAAAAGGAACCAGGACAATTTCATTTTAATTCCTCTCTTAACGGCTTTTTCCCAGGGCGCGATTGTCCTCGTCGTGCCTGACAGAAACGGTCGTTATACGCGATATAATGTAATTTCCAGCCTTAATGACCATGTTGAAACGAATAGAGGTAAAACGGGAGAGAAAAAAAGAGAGAGAGAGAGAGAGAGAGAGAGAGAGGGAGAGGGAGAAGGAGAGGCGGCTGAAGGATGGACAGGCGAGCGAATGGGCGGGAGGGAGGATGGCGAAAAGACGAGAGTGTTACGGCGCGGGCAGGGTGGAATAGCGAAGTTAGAAACGGCGGCTGCGGCAGGAGGACAAAGAAGAGGAGAGAAGAAGCTCGGGATTTATTAGGGTCAAAATAATCAGTCTGCCGGGATCTCTTAACAAATATCGCGGAAAATTGAATGTTGCTAGCGAGGGGGGACAGGGAGAGGGAGAGGGTGAGGGAGAGGGAGAGGGAGAAGGGGAGAGAGAGACCGGGAGGGAAAAAGCAAGAAGGGCACGAGAAGCACGATCGACGAGTTAATAGTTCACGTCTCGCGGCGGGCCAGTTCATAAAGAACAGTCGCAAATTCGGAAGAATTTCCCCGGGAATTCGAGACTCGCGCGCGCGCGCGCGTCCCTCTCCGAGCGTAAAATTTTTTCCCGTCGAAGATCGTACGCGCGCGGCTGCCCGAGGAGTCGATCGATGATGCCGCGAGGCTGTTGGATTTTCAATCGGGGGAAACGATAATAGGCTTAATGAAAGTCGACGAGCGAGTTGATCGTTGCGAGAGAGAGAGAGAGAGCGAGAGAGAGAGAGAGAGAGAGAGAGAGAGAGAGAGAGAGAGAGGGAGAGCGGGGAGTTTAATCTCCCTCAAGTTTCGCCTCCGAGATTATCGGGACGTTTTATGAGCTAGTGACAATTTTCTTTCCTTTTCTTCTTAATTAAACATATCGGCCGCGCGTGTGCGAGTTTAGGTTCCTTTTATTTAGCAGGAGTGGACTATGCGCGGATCGGATCGGAACGGGCGCGGACGGTCGTTTCGATGAAGCTTCCTGCCGGAAGTAGCTCGCGCTTGAACGACGGAGAGCCGCGCGGCATTTCGCGGCCGCTCGCTTGTCACGCGGTTTAAGAAACGTGTGGGTCTTATTGTCGAGCGACGCATGGTTCAGTTCTTTACTTTCCTCCTTTCTTTCTTTGTTCTCGCATAGAGGCATGGAGCACGGTGCTGCCTACGGCGGGTGCTGGCGATTACTGGGCTTGGGATTACAGTGAGTCTCGCTAATTACTAATCCACGATAATAACGTGGGAACGTGGTGGTAGAAGTATCAGTACGAGTAATCAGTAGTAGATCGTAGCTCTAGTCACGCTGTTCCTGTATACTCCGTGTATATACCACCCCTTCTCGGAGGCATACCCGGCTGGATTCTTTATTAACGCGAAATTGAGTGGCGCGAATGAGATAGCGGGACGTGTAATTTGCTGGTCGGCGGGGTAGAGACGGCTGAAATGTTATTCGCGCCAATCGAAATACATAATTTCAGGTCTGGCACCCTTTTCGCACGCGTAACTATATTCGGGCTATCTGTGCGGAGCGCTGTATGTGTGTGTGTGTGTGTGTATTTCTACGCTCTGGAAAATTTTGCTGATTTCCAGCGTCCATTTTCTCTAGCCAGAAGAAGCCAAAATGTTCGGTATCCCTTCATATTCTTACACTGACGTCCAATATGAATTTAGATGAATTTTGCACATTTCATTTGCTCCACCCTATTTGCAGTCGTAGAACAGTCGTTTAGATATCGTTGGACTACCCCAGTAGATTCCTAAGAAAAAAAGACGCTAGATTTGTGCGCCTTCTTCTTCGAACAAAAGTACATACAAAAATAACAATATTAAAACGCTGCAGCGATTCAGAGTAAACCCAATCGGACAACTTCAACCGTACTAAAGAAGTATTTCTGCAAAGTACTTCGTCCACTGACAAAAGAAAGTAATTTCAAAACAAGCGGAATCATCTAAATTTTAGAGGAATTAATTTTTATGCAGGCCTCAAGAGGATTCCTCTAGGATTAAGTGGAAAATATTATAAACACATTATTTTTAAAGTTAGAGCGATTATATGTTATAATGCAAATCTTAATGATTTTAATATCAATTTCCTCTTATACACAGATTATTTGATCTTTTTTTAAGAGGATTATTATTTATTCTTACTGTACTTTATTTTTATTGGTTATACTAGTTAATTTGAAAACTTTATTATAATATATAGCGGAAAGTTATATATATATATATATATATATATATATATATAGATGTACTTCTGGTTCCAGTTCTACAATAAATAGGTACGAAATAAGATCATCATAACAAATAAATTTCCAATCAGTTTTGTTATGGACTTCATAGCTACAAAGATGTTCATCATAACCAATTGTATGAAACATAGTTAAAAGAAAGAATATATTATTCAACTTCTTGCAATAGATTATAAACTGTATTTCACCAAATGTAGATAAATTATCTGCGTTATATGTTACAACACAGCAACACACATACCTTTTTTAAGAAGCGTTCCAAATATTTTGACCCATGAAGGCATATGGTTAATTTTTCGTTCGTGCCTGGAAGTAGAGCATGACTGAACGAAATAAGCCGACATTCAAATCAACATTTATTTATTATTTCTCTTCATATAAGAGAAAAATTAATTGACATAAGAAGAAATCTTCGTGAAATAAGAGGAAAACAGTTAGAATAATATCTAATATAAATTTTAAATGAATGGTTCACTTTAATCGCTTTATCGAAGGAGGAATCCTTTTTCTGTAAAAGGCTTCGCTTAGAATATGAGACTGTGGGAAAAATTACTTTACAAATAAAATACTTTTTTTTTGGATGAACCGTAAAAAAGAAGCATTCCTGTAAAGTACTTCGTCCATAAAATAAATGTGGAAATGTTAAAACGACATTATCTTGTTTCAATTTTTATTCTCTTGTATAAAGCTCTTATCTTATTCTTCATCGTGTCTTTTGTTTAACACACGACGAAGAAGATCGTTACTTAACGCGCTGATTGGACTTTCGTTGCAACGAATACTTGTATCTGCGATGCACGTCGCAGCTTATTTTTCCACCGTCGAGTAGGCATGGCGATGAACCGCCGCGAGGAACGAATTCTCATATAAATCCGCGACAAACATTCATCGCGAATCAACCAGAATAGATAAATAGCGTCCGCAGCGGGAAAATAAGGGGATTTATCGGCGATTCGTCGAAGACTCGTCGAGGCGACGTAGGCGTCAAGACCGGCTCGTCATGACGCAGCATGTGTCCATATTCCAGAATTGTTTATTTCCGGTCGTGAGACAGGAAAGTATGCGAGTTTTGCAGGATCGTTTCTGTCGTGAAAGCATAAGAATTACAAAAACAATAATATCAATAACTCGGGGCCAAACAGAAGAAGAAGAGGCCTTTTACAATAAGAGAGAAGTAAAATGTATAATGTACGGCTCCTGAAAACAAAAATAACGAAAGGACAACGTAAGATTTTCTCTGTCACGCTTAACCGGCCAATCGCAACAGTTGGTGGTTCGAGAGACTCCAGCAACTCGAAATCTAAAAGGTCTCGGACTTGTCACGGTCTCCCCTATCTAACTCGTCACGGAGGTGCAGCAACATCCGAGCGAAACGGCATCAGCTCGTTCATCGCGTTAAAGGGTGAAATTCCGCCGGTCGGGGCCTCAATCGCGAGCTATAAGCTCCCTCTCTCCCCCTCATCTCTCTTTCTCTCCCTCTCCCCCTCGACGTGTGCGCGCGTGCAAGCGGGTCAGCGGCGAAATCACGTAAATCACCAAGAACACTTGGGGCCATCATGTAGGGAAACACGCGGTAAACAGCGGGTAGGCGACGGCGTAAACCGAACGCGCGTGTCGGTTTAGGCGAGGCTAGGTCGGCCCTTCGTATCAATGGCGGTTCTACGTCAACGGTGTTTAGTCGCTAATTTGCATACCTTGCGAGGTACCGATGCATTCCGCCTGTTCGCCGGTTATGCCCGCTCAGAATTAGGCGAGCGCGACTCCGCTATTCGGCCGTTCGAATGCTCATAATGACTCGCCGGGCTGTGCGCGATCGAGTCCGGAGTTGCTCGGAAGCAGGAATCGAAAGCGCGAGAGGTGGTCGGCTCGTTTGAAGGGAGATCGCGAGCTGTTCGACGTCTTGTCTGTGTAAACAATTAAGGCCGCTTAATTCTGTATTTGGAATCCGATTTTTAACATCGGAGTGTCTGAATTTTAGTGTCAGATTTTAAAAGGTATTTCTTAGCGAATCTCAACGGAAATCTGAACGAATTCTAAGGAAACTCTGACGAAAAAATATTTTTTGAAATCGCAGAAATGTTTTAGTTACATCGCCGATTTGTAAGCCGCGTGAAAAAGCATGAAAGTAAAGTCGACGAGAAATTCATGCCCGGATACTTTACGTGTTTCATTTTGCTACGTCTTGGTATAAAAAGTTGGACGTTTAGGCCCGCATAAAGAGAGATCGCAATCTGTCTGGATAAACAATTAAGGCCGCTTGTACACCTAGAATCCTGGTTCAGAATTTTAACATCTGAGTATCTGAATTTTAATGAAATTCTAATGAAAAGATATTTTTTCACGAATCTCAACGAAAACCTGAATAAATTCTAATGAAATTCTAACGAAAATATATTTCTTAACAAAATCGCAAGTGTTTTACTTGTATCGCCGATCCGCGTGAAGAAGCATGGAAGTAAAGTCAATGAGAAATTCGTGCCCGAAAACTTTACGTGTTTCATTTTGACATCTGGTGTAAAAAATTGAGGTTTAGGTTCGCGTAAAGATCGCGATCTATCTATATAAATAATTAAGGGCTTTTTTATACTCGATACTCGAATTCTACTATCCGAGTATCTAAATTTTAATGAGATTCTAACGAAAAGATATTTCCTAATAAATCTCAAGGAAAATTTTAAAAAATTCTAATGAAATTCTAACAAAAAGACATTTCTCAACGAAATCGCAAGTATTTTACTGGTATCGTCGATCCGCGTATGAAAGCATGAAAGCAAAATCGACGAAAAACTCATGTCCGGAAACGTTGTGTTTCATTTTGGTATATTTATAAAAAAATGGAACGTTTAGACCCGCATAAAGGATGACCGCGTTCTGACTGTATAAACAATTAAGGGCGCTTCTATACTTGATACTTGAATTTTACTATCTGAAAATTTCTATGAATTCTAATGAGATTCTAACGAAAAGATTCTAACGAAAAGAATTTCTAACGAATTCCTAACAAATTTCAACGAAAATTAAAAAAGATTCTAATTAAATTCTAATAGAAAGACATTTTTTAAGGAAATCGCGCATGTTTTACTTGTATCGCCAATTGAAAAAAAAAGCATGAAAGTAAGGTCGAAGAGAAATTCACATCTAAGAACTTTACGTGTTTCATCTTGACACATCTTGGTACAAAGAATTGGATGTTTAGCCTTCATTGATCTTATTTTTGCACTTTGCTGCACTTGTTAATCCGAAGAATAAACAGCGAGAAGAAGCCGAGTATCTCTCGATCGAAAGAGGACAAGACCGGTGGGGTATCAGAGTGCCTCAATTCACTAATCGACGGTCACGACCATGTCGGGATAGAAAATTGCGCAGTAATCTGCGAAATGTTTACGGTGACAACACCGCGGAAACCGTCTCCGATTTTGCCGCAGCCGCGGCGTGTTTGGCGTGCGATTTTATGTAAACTTCGATACGGAAACACGAGCGACGAGAGATCACCGCCGTTGAATGTAACCACCGTCGCGTGGCGGCGGGGGCAGCGAGGGCGGCGGGGGCGTAGATATCACCTTCGACCAGCGGGGTTAATAACACGGATTACGCTCCACCGCGCCCTTCGCGGACCCAGTCTCCTCGATCCAGCCGTCGCCCACGGTATCGCCGACAAAGGGTTATCCGCGTCCACTCGGAAAATCCATTTTCCAACGGCGCGTCGTCCGAGACGAGCAAAAAGCCCGCTCAGAAATAGTTGGATACGTTGCATCGGTAGACGCTGTCCCGCGCGCTCGCGCCGGGACGAGGGGAAACTATTCCGACGATAGTCGGGGTTAAAGTTCTCTTCGTGGCTATAACGGGGAACGTAATATTCTCGCCGCGCTCTGGATTTATGCCGCGCGACGTGCGAGCCGCGAGCGACCGACGCACAGTAGGGCCAGATGACATTCTTTGGTTGAAAATTCTC